TGATCATTTGCCTGAAAATATTGAAGTTCGAATGAGAATAAATCCACCTGCAGATATTAATACTTTCTTTATTAGTCATACTACAATTTATCGTAAATTAAATCAAAAACAAGTTTTTCAAGTTAGATAAAATAAAAAACATCAGCAAAATGACAATATTATACTGCAACCTATAGTTTCACAACCACCAACTCAGGATTTCCAAAAAATGCTTCAAGATGAATTTAATAAACAGCAAGAATTATTAAAAAAATAGCAAACAGAGTACAAAGCTGAAATAGAAAAATTGAAAGCCGAACTCCAATCACAAAAAGTGCAAAAAACACAAACACCAGTTCCACAAACTGTTGAACTGGTTAGACAGCCAAGAGGCCCCCCATCAAATTTAAAAACAGAAGAAGATTATAAAAATTATTATGTAGTAAAATACTTTAATGATTTAGGTATATATAGTAATGAAAATTTAAATTCACATTATCCTAAAAAACCTTTTCAAAAAACAAATCAATTCGCTAGAATGGATAGAATAGAATCAAAAGTAGATGAAATTGGACAAATAACATCTCAATTTGGAAAAATGGTACTTGAAAATCAATCCCAAAAACCAGTAGCCAAATTAAATCGAACACAACGATATTATCCCTTTCAACCAATAAATTCTAGCGTTTCAGCTAATGAGGAAAGTAATGAGGGTAGATATGATGAAGAAAAAGATATATGGTATGATTCATCGGAAAAAAAAAATGGATATTACCAATAACATATAATGAATTATTTCCAAAGCTTTTGCCAGTAATACGAAAAATGTGCCAGTCTCATACAGTTCAGAAGGAAAAATCAGATGAGTGGTTTTCATCTCTACAATATCTGAATGCTAGTATAAATGATTTATCTATTTTTGAATCATTCTTAGATCCTGGAAGTGAATTTGGAGCGATGAATAATCCAGCAATTAATACACTTGGATGGAAAACTGACAAGCCCTCTGACTTTGATATAAAAGGTATCTCTAAACATAGTACTGAATCATTGGGATGGTTTATAGATGTACCAGTCAGTATAAAGGATAAGGATGGTAAAACTGTTACAGCTACTGGAAATTTTACACGTATTGATAATGGTGAACCTGAACCAATGTTATATTTAGGTATGACATAGATTCGAAAAGTTCAAGGTATTCTTGACCTGAATAAAAACCAATTTCGAATGAAATTACATGGTAAATCTTACATTATCCCAACTTTTAGCAAGACCCCAGAAGTATTGGATCCATCAAAAAAGAAGCAAGATTCATTGTCTCAAGTATCTACCATCTCATCTAGCTCGACTAGTGAGAAAAACTTAAAAAAAATAACTGGAACGAATATCTAGATCAATTTTTCTTTACAATGCGAGATATGTCAGGATATCGTGTTCTATCTGCTTCTTCCAATAAATGAATAAGATTATATATAGTTCCATCTCGAATATATTTTTTTAATGTATATTCGAATAAATTTCTAGACTTGAGAGCCATATCTAAACGAATTTGATTACACTCAGCTTCTTTTTGTTGCTTAATAGAGTTTAATGTTTCCTGAGTAGATTCAACAAACCTTTGATGCATTGCCTCTGTAGCTTCTTTGACTCAAGCATTGATTTCATCTTCAGAATTAATTACTTGTAAGTTCAGTCTAAGATTAATCTCGGTTTGATCTAAGTTCGATCTAAGATTAATCTCGGTTTGATCTAAGTTTGATCTAGAATGATCTAAGATTGATTTACTACGTCGTTGTAAATTTTTTTTTCTTTACATATTTATCAATTTCACTAATTAGCAATAACTCAATATCAGAATGAATACTACTTGCCTGTTCTTCTGACAAGGGATTATGTACTTTAGAAATAAGTCGATTCCATATATTCTTTTTTATGGAAGGAGGCAATTTTTTAAGAAGTTCTGAATAATGTTCGTGGAAATTCATTATGTTTATATAATAAAATATTCCAGGAATTTTAATATTCCATATATTCTTGGCATTCTTAGAATTATAAAAATTTGTAGAATTCTTGAAATAATTGGCAGAATTCTAAATATTATATTCTTTACATAAAAAGCGTCTAAGATTACATGGTGTGGTTTCAAAATTAGATTCTAGCTATGAATATATTGAGGTTAGAGCTTTGTCCCAACTTTTTTCGATATATATAACAGTATATTGAGACATGAATTGAGTATAGGTAAAAAAAGCAATCAGTTGCGAGGTATATGGAACAAGTAATCAAGTAATATTTCTTGACAAATTATTAAGAAATATATATTATCTTTCTATAGAAATAAACATGCAGAAAATGAAACTATTCCTTATGAATATGGACGAAGCTAATAAGCATTTTGTATCTCATTGTCAATTTCATCCTGCTAGTTCAACATGGCCCTTCAGAATGATACTTACTGGAAGTAGCAGTAGAGGTAAAACAAATTTACTTG